ACCTTAACTCACATGTTTCACAGAGCTCAAGATCAGAAAAATCGAGATCGCCACACAGGTCCCTAAAAAATTTCGGTTCCCCCTATTTTCGAAGTCGGTGGTTTACTATAATTGAGGAGATCTACCTGCTCAATATTAACATCCAGGCTTTGTTGGTACGTTTGTGACAAGTATCTACGGATCTTAAAGCCCCAGCGGGGGCCTCGCATCCAGCGAGGGTTCTTGCGTCGCTATTGGCTCTTGCCGAATTTTTGGTGGCGGAGGTGCGGATTCTTGAGCGAGGAACAGACCAGGCCAAGAAGGAAGTGAAAGACCAGATACCGTCTGATCGTGTGAAAGACCCCGCTGCTGTTGCGCGAGAGTTACGCTGGCGAGTGAGGCTTGCAGCAGGAAACGCAAGCGACGACGAGGGTGGCTCCATGAAAGCCAACGGGATTGGCAGTAAGCGAAAGCGCATTGCAGACGACGACGGACGGCCAAAGTTTAAAAATTTCAAGCCTCGGCAATGGGACAGCGTTTTGGAGAAGGCGGAAGAGGGCGAGGCACGGACCCTCAAGGCTCCCAAGCCGTCGGAGGACGAGGGGACGTGGAAGGAGCGGTGGGTGGAATGGACTAGTGGAAGCGTGGACGATGAGGATGCGGAGGTGCAGGTGCGGAGTCGGACAGAGACGATTATCCGCATTCGACGGACGGGCGAGGGCCTGGAGAGACAACGGGTAGAACGGGTTGTTGAGTTATGGCAATGGCAGTAGCAGGCGGTAACATTCACTTATATTACTTGGAAGTATGTACTTATATCCCAGTACTTGACTGACTTGTACTTATCACAATCGGGAGTATACTAGGTAGTACTAAGGTAGCACCTCATCGGACTTGAATTTCAGTGCAAACACGATCACGTGGTTGGTTGACTTCCAACCTAAACCATGTCCACCATCAAGACGCCTTCTCGTCGCCGAGTGCACTCCGAGGCAAAGACACCCTTGACGCCCTCTCTTCTCTCCGCTTTCAACACTGTCTCTATCGAAAGCCCCGTAAAGCGCGCAACCTCCACCGCGATCCCCTCTCCAACGCCTTCCAGCGTCAGGCTAGTGGCGGAGTCATCCGCAAAGGCGGCGTCGAGAGCAGGATCGACGTCGTAACCTTGGACTATGTTCCTCCCCCAAAATCTGCAGAAGTAAAGCGCTCGCGCTCCACACCCGCTATTGTTCGTTGTTTTGACCTTTCACGCACCAACGCACAAAAGCTGATTGTAAGTATACAGAATCGTGCTGAGCGCGACAGGTTTATCACCTCACGCGACCACACCCTTGAAGTCTCTGCCACCCTCGACCAAATGTCTCTCAATGCCCCCTCGGGCTCTCCGTCTCACACCGCCCGCCTGGCAGCTGCAGCGGGCGTTCCGCTCAACCGACGCATCCTTGGCTACCATCTGCCTCCCCCGCTGCATCTTCCGACACCACCCTCGCTCTCCAGCGAGAATTCGCACGGCCCCTCTACGCAAATCGCCCAGGTACAATCCCCACCTCGACAGGGTCCACGACGAACAAAACTCGCAAAATATCTAGCCAGCCCGAGAGAGTCCTCGATGCCCCCGGGATGGTCGATGATTTCTACCTCAATCTTCTCAGCTGGTCCTCCCTGAACTGTGTCGCCGTTGCGCTCGAATCTAGCACGTACATCTGGAAGGCGGACACAGGGGCCGTGGTCCAAATGGGAGAGGCGCCTGCGGGAACATACGTGAGCAGCGTTAATTTCTCAAATGACGGCGCGTTCCTGGGAATCGGGCTGGGGACTGGTGAGGTTGAGCTGTGGGATGTCGAGAGGGGCACAAAATTGCGCACGATGGCGGGGCATCAGGCCCAAGTTGCTGTTCTCTCGTGGTGGCAGCATCTCCTGAGCTCCGGGTGTGGCGACGGAAGTGTGTGGCACCATGATGTGAGGGTGCCGCGTCACAAAGTGATGGAATTGCTTGGACACAGCGGGGAGGTGTGTGGCCTAGAGTGGAGAAACGACGGGGAATTGATTGCCAGTGGGGGCAACGATAATGTCGTCAATATTTGGGACGGAAGAGTTGGTAGTGGGCCCGTGGCGGGAGATGGAGTAGCGACGGGCAATGCGAAGTGGACGAAAAGAAATCACACTGCGGCCGTCAAGGTGCGTTCAGTCCGGTTTTCTTCAAAAAAATCTCGGCTCAATATCATGTCGCTCAGGCTCTCGCTTGGTCCCCGTGGCAACCCAATCTTCTCGCGTCCGGCGGGGGAACCAACGATGCAACTATAAACGTATGGAACAGCACCACTGGCGCGCGTCTGCACACCCACACCACGCCATCCCAAATAACCAGCCTGCATTTCTCTCCGCACCGCAAGGAACTGCTGAGCACACACGGGTATCCGACGAACGCAATCGGCGTTTGGGCTTACCCAGGTCTAGAACGAGTGGTACGAATCTTATGCTGTTCCGGCGGCTCGCCGCGCTGATTTTCTTGTCCAACAGGCTGAAATCCGCGATGCACACGATTCGCGCGTTTTGTTTAGCGCCGTTTCCCCGGGAGGCGACATGGTGGTTACGGGGGCAGGGGACGAAAGCCTGAAGTTCTGGAAAATCTGGGATGTGCCGACGTCGGACGGGAAGAAGGGCAAGATGAGCAGCGGACGGGGAGAAGGGGCGACACGCAGTGGCGTTCTTTCGATTAGATAGTGGCTGTGTAGCGATCGGAGTCTGAAAAAGTTTAGTTCATGGCACCCATTACCCATGCACTCTTCGAGTCCGCCTCGGGATATGCGGTCTTCGAGGCAAAGCTCTCCGATGACATTGGCTCCCGGACCCTCGCCGTCCAGCAGTCAATCACCGACCTCGCAAAGTTTGGCAAAATCGTCTCGTTGATGAGCTTTTTGCCCTTCAAGAGTGCTGCCCAGGCTCTTGAGAATGCTAACGATGTCTCTGAAGGTCCGCATCCTCTTTTTGCCTTTTTCCTTGCTATAATTTGGACATAGGAATCCTCAACGACCACCTCAAATCCCTACTGGAGCTGACCGTATCCAAGACTTCCAAAAAGTCCCCAGTCCTGTTGGCTGTCTCGGACAGCAATCTGGGGAAAAGCATTAAAGATGCCCTCAACATTAACTGCGAGGTCTCAGAAGAGGCGCAGGAGCTCATTCGTGGTATCCGCCTCCACGCCTCCAAGATGCTCAAGGGCCTTCAATCCGACGACCTCATCAAAGCCCAGCTCGGGCTGGGACATTCGTATTCGCGCTCCAAGCTAAAATTCAACGTCAACAGAATAGACAATATGATCATTCAGGCGATTGCCCTACTTGACCAGCTTGACAAAGATGTCAATCTGTTTTCTATGCGCATACGGGAATGGTATGGGTACCACTTCCCAGAGCTCGTTCGGATAGTCCCCGACAACCACCAATACGCCCGCGTTGCACAATTCATCGGCGACAAGGACACGCTCAGCGAAGAAAAGCTTCCAGACTTGGCCGCCATCCTTGACGACGACACGACCCTTGCCCAAAACATACTGGATGCCGCGCGCGGATCCATGGGCTCGTCACTTTCAGAAATTGACATGCTCAATATCTCTGCCTTTGCGACCCGTGTGGTGTCGATCGCCGAGTACCGGAAATCTTTGGTGTCTTACTTATCAGAGAAGATGAACCTGGTAGCTCCGAGTCTAACAGCTCTTCTCGGAGAAAGGATCAGTGCTCGACTCATCAGTCATGCTGGAAGCCTGACCAATCTGAGCAAGTACCCTGCCAGCACTGTCCAGATTCTTGGCGCAGAAAAGGCATTGTTCCGAGCACTGAAAACCAAGGGTAACACACCGAAGGCAAGTCCTCCCACCGAGTCAAATGCTCGCACTTGTACTCACGCACATCCTAAGTAGTACGGCCTCATATATCATTCCACTTTCATTGGGCGCGCTGGACCCAAACACAAGGGACGCATATCGCGGTTCCTGGCCAACAAGTGCTCCATTGCGTCGCGGATAGACTGTTACTCAGGTTTGTCTTTACCTCTACCCGAAATACTTTGCACTGCTGATGCGCCGGACAGATAATCCGACGCCGAAGTTCGGGGAGGCTCTCCGTGCTCAGGTCGAAGAGCGCTTGAACTTTTTTGAGACGGGCGCACCCCCGTCTAAGAACGCTGATGCTATACGTAAAGTTCTGCAGGACCTGGCGTTAGACGAAGATGAAGATGAAGACGCAGACATGCCTCTGACAACCCTCGTGCCGTCTCCAGAGAAGAAGGAGAAGAAAAAGAAGAGGAAGAGTGATGCCATGGATGTTGACGAGGACGGAGGCGAGGAGCCCTCGACGAAGAAGGCGAAGTTGTCGAAGGAGGAGAAAAAGGCGTTGAAAAAGGCCAAGAAGGAGGAGGCCAAGGCCGTGGACGCCGCCGGAGGCGTGAGTTCAAGTTTTTGTTTCGAGGTGATGACCCTTCATGCTTTTTTTCAGAATGGCAAGAAGAAAAAGGACAAAAAGTGAAATTACTTGGTGGCGCAGCGTCAGGAATCCAACTGGAATAGGAGGAGAGACCTAAGCGACGTTGTATTCTTGCCTGTGCAGATAAATAGCGTCAACGGATATTTTGGGTCGTTCTTTGAGGTCTTCATCAATGTATGAATGAGATGGTGGCGAAGTGAAGATTCTCGGGGGAAAATAAACAGTCTGCATGAACATCCAGCTGGACGCACAGCGTACAAAGTGTTAGAAACATTGCGCGGGGGTTCAAGCAAAGATACTTGACTGAAAATGCACCCTAGAAAGTCCACATGAATGGATGCGGCATACTCCCCAGTGGAAATGGCTGGATAAGAGGAGGCATGATGTTGGACGGGCGGACACGACAAAGTCAGCGTCGAATGGAGATTGGACCCTGGCGCGCCAGACAGGATACTTGAGGTGGTTCCTCGACTTGAGGCGACTCTCCACTGGCGGCTCAGTGGACCGACCGAGGCCGCTTCAACGCCCAATAACTTTATCGGGCGTGTAGTATAGTGGTTATTGCGCCCGCTTTGCATTTTCTCCTAACATATTCTTTGCGGGAGGTCTGGAGTTCGATCCTCCACTCGTCCAGTTTTTCCTCTCTCGAGCGCTTTTTCGTTTGCTTTGGAAATGTACTGGTATTAAAAATATACAATGTACTGTTTTGGTTTGCGCCCGCTTTTTACCCCCCGGTGATTGGCCATGGGAGTCTCATGGCCAAATTTGAGGCCAGCAGGATTTTTCACAATGTCCCAGAACTGAAGAAAAGGTTGTTTCTGCATGCAATATTGTGCTAACTCCAACACACCTACAGCATCCGTTACCACGCCGCCGGCGGAGCACCGTACCTACGTAGATCAGCGCAAATGTATGCTACGATCAGCAACGGTAGGTCCCTGCAGAGCCTTGAGAGAAGGCTTGAGGGACTGAGGCCGGCCGCGGAAAGCTGACGTCACGATGACGAGGGCCGGCACGATAGGCCTGCAGAGCCCTCAAAAAGATCATCCAAAAGCTTCATGACCGCCAGTTCGGCAATGCTCGGGATGGCGGGGAACGCGGACGTCAGGGGCGAGCCAGGGGATTGTGCGATTGCGGAGGCGACGATGCGCAGTGTGCGGAGTGTCGTGCGTCCGAGGAGGGGGGGTCGGCGTAGATTGCTGCAAGCGCCGTGCGGGCCTGTGTGTCTCCGTGTCGAGATGGAGTGGTCAGATTTCGATTGATTGAAACTGTTTACGTGATGGACCACCTTAGTGAGGCCAACCTCCAGATGACATCGGGCACATGGTGTAGTTGGTTATCACGCTCGCTTAGCAATCAGTTAAATTATGTAATATTATTACGTAATATGCGAGAGGTGTTGGGTTCAATTCCCAATGTGTCCATACCTTTTTCGCCCTGCACCATCTCCTACTTGAACTATGTCTTTCCCCCAATTCTTTTTGCACGTCGCAAATTCAAACCTATCACTTGGAAGACACTTTATAGTGTTTTCTCATAATTTCCCTTTTTGGACAAGGGTTTTGAATACGTCAAATTTTCTCCTTCATGCCCTCATGAGTCATGACGATGCTCCTGTCGGTACACAAGGGAAGGTCAGGAGTTCCGTTCTTTGTTCTTCTTCTTCTTTCTTTTGCTGATATTATGAATCAAACAAGTGGATCTATGACTCCAACTGTTTTACATTCGCCAGGGGCTATGATTCAGAATATCTCAAAATCCATAGGCTGTCCTCAAAAGTCATGTTATGAAATAGATGTTGAGTGTGGCCGTATGTAGTACAATTATTATTACCAAACGATACTTATGCCGGAGGCACAATGGCCTCCTACACCAAGCTCCGGGTTATCACGAATTGAGACTTGTACTAACAATTCAACGTTAACGGCGACCGTATATTTCTGCCCACTCACAGAAGAGATGATTTAACTGGCGACAATGCCAAGGGCCGATTTCCAGTAACCAAGTAGTTTCTGGAACCCGGTACTATTAGTTACGACGCACGGTGGGTATCAATCGCTGGTGTTTGATTTTCATATAATTGTTTTACCATGTGTCCAAATACCAGGGAAACCAGGCAGTCTACTCATCGTTGAGATCTGTTCTTATAACTGACCACCTCCCCACTATGACATTGCCTAAAATGGACAAATGCTCGTCCAAACTCAGTTGGTTAAAGTTGGTGCGGAAGGTCAGATAGGCGACTGTGCTAGACATTATGAGAAGCTGCTGAATTTCATCATGAAGCTGGGTTATACAATTCATGTCCGACAGTTCCTGCAGCATGCTCGCCTCCAAGCAGACAGTCCAAGCGCAGACTTGAAGTTTGCGTTTATTTATAGTTTCTTTTAGCCCAAGAAAGATAAGAGCCATATTACGGCCGTCCTTCCACCCGCTTATCATGAAATTTGTGGCCATGATCTACCAGCCAATCGGGCTCGATCTCAGTGATAATGCGTATCCTGTATGGTGTTAGCGTGTGAGCTGATACTTGCACAATTTCCAAATGCTTACTGTGTCTTTTTAGTTTCTTCCATTTCGTGAAATACGACCCAGCCAGAGCGGGGCTTTCTCGTGAAAAGCACCGAGGTTGGATGCACATTAATGTCTGCGTGAGAGTCAGAGCTAAGGCGAAAAGCTGGCACGATCTTCCTACCCTGTTGCCTCTGACCGAGCGGTATGTCCCGTCGGCCACCCACCTGGCCCCGTTGCGCCAATAGCCGCTCACCAGGCAACGGCACAGTCGTTTTGCATCTCCTTCGCAGCTTTCAGTGGGCAAATTAAAGCGTTGCATGTATTTTTTCAACTGGGAGCGAATAGACACGGCGCGCGACATGGCTCGGAACGACAGGGCATGGGATTTGCACCAACCCGAAGAGCGGCCATACCTTGTGAAAGCGTTATAGGCTACAGAGAAGTCAAAAGGGAGCATGTAGATTCCAACCAGATGCCTACCGTTTAATAACGTAAGATGGTCCTGTTGACTTGTCAGCAAGGGATAGTAGGACAACAGAGGAATTGCAATCACCCCTTCCTCGGCAGTGAATTTTCGTCGTTCAAGTTCAGCCAAAGCTCCTGGTGCTCCATCAGGAATTACAAACACGTCCTATCAAGATGTCAATATGCGATATACTAGAGGGTCAATGTACAACACACCTGGACAGAGGTCATGGCAGCAATGGTCAGGATCTCATCTCCACACTTTAGTTCTTTTGAATTGAACAGCTAGAATTAATGCTCAGAGGCATGATAGCGCGAGCGGTGTGTAAATTGACCATTCTGGCAACACCAACTTCGACAGGACATTCTGCCACCTGCTCTCCGATCACAGTCAAACGACCGTCCTCTCCGATCATGCCGGCTGCTACAAGACCTTCCAACGCTCTCAGGACGCTTTCGGCAGGTGGGGCAGAGACCCACTCAAATTTCATGAGATCATCTATGCCGAGCGACTTGAGCTGCAGGATAGGAGTGGTCATGTCCGTCCGAGTAATCTCCGGTGGCGTCGAGAGAGGAAGAGAGTCGAACGCAGATGGCGGGTAAAGACGATAACAGACACCAGGAGAGGTTCGTCCTGCTCGTCCTGCCCGTTGCGTGGCCGACGCAACGGATGTCGGAACTGTTGCCAACGACGCAAGTGCGGTAGTCGGATTATACGTTCGGATCTGCATGAAGGTCAAACAAAAGTGCTGAGACCGGTAGCACGGTACAAACCTTGACAAAGCCGCAATCAACTACGAACTTAATACCCTCGATTGTCACACTGGCCTAGACTATTGAGCTCGATGTCTTGTTTCGGGCAGCATGGAGATACAGCTCACTTCCGCGATATTGGTAGCTATTATAACCTTGCGAGTACCTCGCTCTGCAGGCTCGAATACTCGCAGTTGCTCATCGGTTGACAAACCTGCATGGAGAGCTAATGGCACTAATCGCGTTGCGGTTCGAGGCAAACTGTGGACAGCGATGTCGGTGACGGAAACGAAGTGAGCGAAACACCACCTACGTTGGTAATAGGTCCGAAAGTTCCTCGAGACATCGTTCAATATCCTCGCGGCCCGTGAGGAACACCAGAATGTCGCCGGCTCCTTGCTGCCGAAAGTCTGGTCAAAATACTAAGAGGGGGGGAAAGTGTTGGCAAACCTGTAGATTGATGTTCCATGCAACTTCAGCTGCTTTTCGGACGTAGTCTGGGGCTGGCTCTTGTAGATACGCCACCTCTACAGGATACATTCGACCTTCGAGGCTAACAATAGTGGCCTCTACCGTTGAATTGACAGACGTAAAGTAATCGAGGAAAGATGAAGCATCTAGAGTTGCCGAAGACACGATTAGTCGGAGAGACGGTCGCTTCCGGCGTATTCTAGATGTAAGGTGAGGTTAGTAGCAAGGTAGTAGTCAGACAGTGACCTTGACACACTTTTTCAAAACACCCAGTAAAAGGTCGGTATATACACCGCGTTCGTGGGCTTCATCAATCTTGCTTGAATTGGTAGATGGTACGACATCTGTATAAGCTCTTGCAACGCACCATGATCACGCTATACCGACTCAGCAGAGGATCGACCAATGTTTCACGAAACAACATCCCGTCTGTCATGTAGAGTATTCGTGTCCGTTCCTTGTCACTGACGTCTTCGAATCGAATCGTATATCCAACCTTGTAAACGTGAGCAGAGGAATCCGAGAACGAATGAGTGTGGACCGTACCTCATCACCGAGGATGGACCCAACTTCGGTCGCTACCCGGCCAGCAACCGAGGTCGCAGCAACTCGCCGAGGCTGAGTGCAAGCAATAATGTTCCCGCTATCTGCCCAGCCGGATTCCAGCAGATACTGGGGCAATTCTACGAAAATCTCAGGCGCAGACGAGTGAAGGCAGGGAGCGTCTCACGAGTGGTCTTGCCGCAGCCGGTCTGCCCCACGACAATGACTACACCATATTTTTCGACAGAGTACAAGAGTTTATCTCCTGAAACGGCGCGCTTCAACACCGTGTTCTGGCGAAGAACAGAGAGTACATGCGGTGTTTGAAGATTGGAAGGCGTTCGCGTTGGCTTTGGATGGAGAGCGACGAGACGGCGGACGGGACGGCATAGTCCTCTGCTTCGGTTTCACGGTCAAGGCTGCTTCCTGGCCCAGCGGTGCCAGGCTTCCAGAACTTGAGGGACATGTCTTGTTATTTGGCTCTGAGGGTCGACTGTCGACAAACACCGCTGATGCGTCCTCCGACTTGCCAAATATACGATTACAGCTAAGAACCTCCGTATCCTCCACGCCCACCGCCACCCCCACGACTCCAGCCCCCTCCGCCACCCCGACCGCCAAAGCCACCGCCACCCCCGCGTGAGCCTCCCCGACCTCGGTCCCCGCCGAATCCCCCTCGTGATCCCCGCGACCTCCCCCACGCGGAGCGCCTCTGGACTGAAATCCGCCCCGTCCGCCGCCCATGCCGCGCCCCCCGCGTCCCCTGGTGCCCCTCTGCCGCGACCTCGCTCTGGGGAAAAAAAGTCAGTACCGTAATATGTGCTAGAGTCAGTCTATCCTCACTGGTGACACCTGGCGGAATATACCAGACGATTAGCTGGGTTGACAAACGGTCATGTAGAAGCTTACCTCCGGCGATTTTTGGTTTCGGCAGAAATCGGTCTATCGGCAGGAGCTTGTCTCCGCCAATGTACACCTTGTCGCCTTTTTTGAAGCTGCTCGCAACCATCCCGTCTCCCATTTTTATTGAAAAGTAGACCTCGTTTATTGGTCCAAGGATTTCGTCCACCTTTCCAATGACCGACTTGTTCTGTAAATAAATGGGGGCGTTGAAGTACGGAACCTTGTCAGGCATGAGCGAGGAGCACAGCATTTCGTCCTCCACAGCATGAACAAAAGAGCCCATTTCTATGACGCCTGCATGAGCATAGAAGAAAAAAAGTGGAATGCGGAACGTACCCAATACGGTGTCTGGCGGTCCCATATCTCGCTGTTGGAAGCCTCCCCGGCCTCCGCCGCGGCCTAAAAGGAAGTGAGACGGAAAGCGTGGGCCATGGGAACGAGACTACCTCCACCACGGCTATAGCCACCTCTGGATCCCCCGCGGTTCATGGCCAAGTACTTGATGCTTGGTGTTGTTACGATTACGCCCCGTCGACCTGCCCGTGCTTGCGGTTGTTTCATTCACACATTATTGCCATGAGCCTGCTCACGGACCCTCCACTGTCGATTGAGACTGCTTTCAAAATCAAACCCTCGCCAGAATATCGTGGCCAAGATGTCGCCTTGCTAGGAAATCGTCTCTGGGCTTTGCTTTCTGCGGGAAACGACCATCAGCGGCTTTATATTTCTGCGACTTCCAACTGGCCTGCTACGAGCCATGACCTCCGACATGTTT